TTAAAAATAAATTTAAAAAATAAATTATGATCCTTCAAAAATTTATAAACGACTATAAAAAAAATTAGCTTTTCTAAATATTTTGTCGATTTCAGCATTTAACTCAGCAGTTCACAGAACTGAGTGAAACTGGTACTTGCCTCTGTCCTGTTCACTCTGCCCTGAAAAGTAAAGGAAGACATAAACAAGTCATGCCAAATGAAACCACAATATGGGAGAGAGAGGGGAACAAATGTTGGTACCCTTTTCATGGTTCCCTCTGCAGTGGAAATTTACCCAACTTTGGCACAATTTCAAACAAAAGGTGCCAAAGGATGTCTCAGCCACCAGACATAGTGGCACTTGACCTCCCTCATGCCTTGCGCAAAAGGAACTAAATTAGGAAATAAAACCAGGAGGGAGGTAGAACGGCAATTCTGGGGTGTGCATTATCAGTCTTTCCTCTGTCATTGGACTATCACCGTTTTCCAACTGGAAAGCAAACTTGTATTTCTCCATGACAATGGTGCTTAATGGAACCTGTGACCTCTCGGTGCAGTTGCCAAGGCTCTAACCACTGAGTGATACTGGCCAGGGCAAGAAATATATATTCTGAAAGACCATTCCCAAGGATAAAATAGAATTGAAATTCTCCTTGTAAAAGGGGGATATTAAGGTTTGAATGATTAAGGGTTTTGGTATTTTTCCAGTAACGCTGTGGTCATTTTTTCTTGTGTTCTTCACATAAAACACCCAGATGAGAGATATATTAATTTTCAACTTTCCTCAAGATATTTACTCCATCTGCAAATTGTATTTTTAATTTTTGTTTATTGATTTTTACAGTGCTAAAGGGGGCGGGGTTAGAGAGAGAGAAATATTTGTTGTCCACGTATTGGTGCATTCATTGCCTGATCTTTAAAATATGTTAATTGATTTTAAAGAAAAAGGAAGGCAAAGAGAGAGAGAGAGGAACACACACAGAGAGAGAGGACCAAGGAACACTGCTTTCTTGCTTCCTGTAGTTGCCCCGACTGTGGATTGAACTTGAAATCTACGTTTGTGCCCTAACTGGAAACTGAACCCACAACCTTGTCTCCTTGGGACCACAGTAACCATTCGAACTCCCCAGCCAGTCCCTCATTGTTTTCGTAGAGTACTGTTTGTCATTTGATAACTGTGTCAACACAAATGCAAAAGAATAAAAATTGATTTGATCAAATATTATTAAAATCCCCCTCAAAATAGGTAAATTTATTTAGATACCTGGGAATACCTGGTTTATAGTCAAGGGCACTGGAAGAGTGATGCCCCAGGTCACCCTTGGCCAATGAATGATATGACATATTAATTATAACTCAGGCTTTAGACAGACAATGGTCAGAGAAACTTAACTCTGCAAGTTTGGAGACTTCTGTTGTCTCTTAAGGATTTGGAAAAGTATCAGCTGCACAGTAATGAGCCCCTAGACACTGGACATCTGACAGATGTCCTCCGCTTCTATATGTTTGAGGAATACATATATAATATTTATGTAAATATATTTTTATATATATAATATATATGTTATGGAAACCATATGTCTAACAGCTTAACACTCTTCATCAAACCAACTTTTTAAACAGGTAATTCTCTGCAAGACAGAAATATCGAGTGTTTTCAGGCCATAATTGCATAAACTGAAANTATAATTTATATGTTATGGAAACCATATGTCTAACAGCTTAACACTCTTCATCAAACCAACTTTTTAAACAGGTAATTCTCTGCAAGACAGAAATATCGAGTGTTTTCAGGCCATAATTGCATAAACTGAAACACAAGGAATGGAAAGGGAGGGGAGGTAGAAAAGAGAAATGCGAGAACTCCGAATAGGAGAAGTCCAGTCCCAAAATCAGGGTGGGAAGAACAGAGATCAGGAGGATAGGCCAATGGAAAGCATAGAGGTAAAAAGTCAGGAAAGAGCAAAGGGGGAAATTAGTCAGATGTTTTACAGGAGATCAAGAGTAAGGGGATATCATAAATATTACCTAATCTTGTCTGAAGTTCCACTGGAAGAAAAAAAAAAGACAGGTCAATTTCATGGGAAAGAAACACAGAGAGATTTCAAATGTACTAATGAATTCATATTTCATTTTGAATTTACCAGGATCCAGAAGAACACACACAAATTCACAAGCATACATACACATCAATACAACCTTCACCCTGCCACCCCCCGCTCATAGTTCATTATGTGCTGACATTTTCTACAAAANCCCGCCCCCCCCACTCATAGTTCATTATGTGCTGACATTTTCTACAAAAAATAACATGCACTAATATGGAGCTAATTTCATGAAAGACAAAATTTTAGGAATGTTAGTTTGTGGATTAATTTGGAAAATCCATTTGAAACTATTAATGTTCCCATTATTCAGTTGGTCAGCTTTAGTGCATGCTTATAGGCTTCATTTATTTATATATTTATTAAATTGAAATATTCCAACTATAGTTGACATACAATATTCTATTAGTTTCCACTGTACAGCACAGTGACATGACTGCTGTGTAACTTACTTGGTGATCTCCCTGTTCAGTCCAGCATCCACTTAACCCAATACATGATTATCATAATATTATTGACTATATACTCCGTGCTGGACTTTAGAAGCCATGACTACCTTGTAACTCCCAAATTATACTTCCTAATCCCTTCACGTTTTCACCCAGCCACAAACCCCCCTCCTATTTCGCAATCATCAGTTTGTTCTCTACATGAGTTTGTTTCTCATTTTGTTCTTTGCATATTTTGTTTTTAGATTCCATCTAGAAGTGAAATCATATACTATTTGTTTTTCTCTGTCTGACTTGTTTGACTCAGTATAGTACACCCTAGGTCCATCTGTAGTATAGCAAATGGCAAGATTTCATTGTTTTTATGGCCAAATAATACTTCCCTTTACATATATAACACACTTTCTTTATCAAGTTCTCTATTGAAGCACAGTTAGGTTGCTTCCATATGTTTGTTATTTTTATAAATAATGCACACAGTGAATTTAAAAACACAATGAATATGGTGTTTTTCTTTTTCTGATAAATACCCAGACACGGGATTGCTGGGTCATGTGCCAAATTAAGAAATAATACACAAATGGGACAACATCAAAGTAAGAAATTTTTGCACAGCAACAGAAACCATCAACAAACTGAACAGACAACTTACTGAATGGCAGAAATTATTTGCCACTGATACATCCTTAAGGAGTTAATGTTCAAATTTAATAAAGAACTCATATAACTCAACACCAAAAAACCCAAAAGGCCCAATTTAAAATTGGGTAGAGAGTCTGAGTTGACATTTCTCCAAAGATGACATACACATGGACAATACATATATGAAAAGATGCTCAATGTCACTAATCATCAGAGAAATGTAAATTAAAATCATAATGAGATATCATTCACAATTGTGAGAATGGCTACCATCAATAAATCAGCAAACAACAAGTATTGGCGAGGATGTGGAAAAAAGAGAACCTCTGTGAATTGTTCCTGGTATGCAGAATGGTGCAGGAGCTACGGAAAACAGACTAGAGTCCTCAAAAATCAAAAAGGGACTGCCTTAAAATCCAGAGACTACACTGCTGGGTATATATCTGAGGAAACCCAACATAATCATTTGAAAGAATGTATGCTCCCCTATGTTCATTGCAGCATTGTTTACAATAGCCAAGATTTGGACAAAGCCTAAGTGCCCCTTAAAGATGAGTGTATCTACAACAGTGGTACATATATACAATGGAATATTACTCAGCCATGAAAAGAATAAAATCTTACCATTTGCAACAGCATGGATGGATTTAGAGGGTGTTACGCTAAGTGAAATAAGTCAATCAGAAAAAGGCAAATAGCCTATAACTTCACTTATATGTGGAATCTAAAGAACAATATGAACAAACAAAACACAAAAAGACTTAGAGATGCAGAGGACAGTCAGATGTATGTCAGAGGGGAGGGGACTTGGAGTTANAGATGTATGTCAGAGGGGAGGGGACTTGGAGTTAGGTGACAAAGGTGATTGAATTGACATGTACAAATTGGTAGTTCCAAAATAGTCCCTGGGATGCAAAGCATAAGGAACATGGTCAAGAATATTGAAATAACTTTGTGTGGTTCCAGGTGGGTACTTGAAATATAGTGGGGAACACTTTGGAAGGTATATGATTTTCTAACCACTATACAAAATAATGTTAAATGCACAAGCCAATTAAAAAATAAAATGAAGAAAATAAATAAGTTATCTATTTAATTTATTGGAGAATGAGTAAAGGCCATTATTTTGAGAATCAACTGCAAATTTTCAAAAACTGATGAGGACGAATAAAAATATATTCAAAAAGAGTAGGTAATTATACAAGGTATCCACTTCACAAACAAATATTTTCATTTTTTAAACATCACCTCTTTCACTGTATATGAATTTTAAATAGGAATACTTATGTCTCATTTTGCTGGATCTATTCCAAGGTTATTCCTATTTTCCAAGGAAAATTATTAATAAATGTGTATTATTTATATTTCTAAATAAAAAATGACCACAAACTGTGTGCAGTAAAAAGACACACATTTATTATCTAATGGTTTTTGTAGATCAGGAACATGGTATAGCTTTATTGGATGTTGTACCTCACAGATTTTCAAGAGGCTGCAATCAAGGTGTTCACCACTACGACCTGGTTAGGGAAGGACCTATTTCCAAGCCCATCTGTATGGCTATGGGCAGAATTCTAACAGAATGGCTATTTGGTTGAGGGCCTCAATTCTCAAAAACC